TTAATTGTAAAGATAAGTTATAGAGGATGTCAAGAGGAGTCAATTTCCCAAAGAATCACAAAAAAAATGTTGAAAAATGAGTGAGTTATGATATTTTAAAGTTGCACTTGAAAAGTTGACTTTTTTAGGTCAAACCACTTTGTACACTCTTGAATCTTTGGACTTTTTCTTCCATTCTATGGAACTTTGATGATCATACGAACTTACAATGATGTATTCTTGATTTATCTTTGATTAAAGTTAGTCAAATCTTGAGGAAACTTGATAATTATGGCATGAAAATAAACACATGAACCTTTTGAAGTACCTTGAGAAACAAGCAACCAAATTTTGAGCTATTCTTGGTCAAATTATGTTGAATGATGCTTAAGCATAGTGTGACCTAATATTATCGGTCATGCTTTGACAAATAAGCCTTTGAAAATCAATGGTTGACCATCTTTGACTTTGAGGAACTCAAAACCCTAATTGAGGAACATCACTTGATCTTCTTGATTCAAAGTCCTAACTTGCAAAAGAAACAAAAGGAACAAGGCATATTTTTTTGTATTTTACTAGGATTAGTGAAGCATGAAACTTATAAGTACAAAAGGTAAAAGATACACAAAGAGGTGATTGATGATATCCACAAAGACAAATCCAAATATAAGAGGGTTAGGAGACAACCAAGTTTGTGATCTTGATGTAATGCAAAGATGCAAAAGAGATGGGATCTTAGGGGGTAAAAATTGGGGTATGATAGACTGCTCTTGAAAAAATTCACTCAAAGGTATGAGGCTATCTCCAACACTCAGAGAATGGAATTAAAGGACTAAAGTTTTTCATATGAGGCATATGCCGGAATGATCGTGTCATTCATATACTAAATATGGGAGACCACCAAGTCAGAGGACCTTAAATAAAGGCCCGAGAAAATTTGAAGATCCACAACCCTAAAAAAAGAATCCATTGAGACCTTTAGCTACCAAGAGAAAGAGGAAAGGATCCAAAAGGTCACGTTACTTCAACACTCTGTGTATGCTAATTTTTTGGGTCGGACAACCATTTACCAACACTATTTTTCTACATTTTCTTTAAGATTAATATTTAAATGACTCTAGTTTCATATTTTAGGGCTTTTATATCATTAATTATTTTTATTTTAAAAAAATATGAATTCTAGTAATCGAATAATATGTTTTTGTAAGCAAAGATTTGATAATAAAATAGTACTAGGGGTACTTGCCCGATTTCAAATTCCGAGAAAAACTCTAAAAAGAAGAAATTACTATCCAATTGAAACTTAGGCTAAATAATAGAAATGATCTTTGCAAAATTCATAAAAATTACACTTGAAATTAGAAATTTCTCCTAACAAGGACCACTTCTCCAAGCCACCAATTTAATATTTCAAACTAGATAAAAAACGTTACCAACTGCATGTTGAACGAAACATCGCTCCTCGATTTCCAAATACACCACAAACCGTCAAGCAAATGGTTCCTTCCTTGCATGCCTTCACTTTCTTCTTTTTAAAAGAAACATGCCAAAGAATGCAATTTCTCCAAAGACAGTCTTTATAATCCAACTCTAAACCAATCCACCCTAACACATCTCACAAAACTATATTTGATATAGAACAATTAAGAAGGAGATGTTCCATTGATTCCACCTAAACATAGCACAAAACACAAATAAGATCGTTAAGGGAAGAAATAATACCTCTATAAAACAACGAATCCCTCGTCAGTAGCCTGTTCAAGAAGCATCACCAACAAAAAGCTTTGATTCTAAATGGAACTGTCGATTTCAATAGCAAATCAAGAGCTTTCTATTTACCTACGTTGATGTCGAAATTATCCTGGACTGAAATCAACAATTCATAACCTATTTTAACAATATAACCCTTCATGAAATCTTACCTCCAAAAAACATCATCAGCGACATCCCTTAAAGGTAAAACAGGAGACAACAAATCACGCAATTGCTGGACCCTTAGCAATGCGTCTTGGTTCAAATCAATAAGAATTTCAAAAATCACCCTAAAACCACTTATTAATGATCCATCTTCCGATACTTGCTGCATAAAATAGACTTCAGCAAAGTGGTTCTGCCTTCAAAGATGTGTAATCTCTCTCTCCAATTTGCGAGTCGAGCCTTCAACTTGATTTCACAACTACAAGATTATATAATTCATAAAATTATCTTTCTAAATTGTAATGGTGAAATATGCATGTTTCTTTAAAAGAGATAAGTTTTTTTACAAAACTAAAATTTTAATTCTGATGTATTTTCAATGTTAAATTTTTATAACAACAATCAATTATTAGTTAATTCATTTATAATTTATTTCTAAGATAGTATAATAAATGTTAAATGTTTCTAATGAAGTGACAATTTATAAGTAGACTTTATTCTTACTTACAATTCGTGCCATTTGAATATAATAGAGCCTCGTAGTTGGAAAAAATATAGTTAAAAGAAAAAATCTAACTAGATATCAATAAAATTCTTTAACAAACTTTTAGTCAATTTAATGTCATTCAATATAACACATTAGTAATATGGTTAAAAATATTGAATCTAATAAAAGAAAAATAACAAAGAAATGAATTTTAGACTAAATTTACCTCAAGCCTAACATAATATTTCTTAATATGTTGATATACAATTTCGTTGAGTAAATATGTTTCTGTAATATAAACACACCAAAAAGACTTTAAAGAAAACTTAAATAGAAAAAATATTAAGTAAAATACTATAAATAACTAAATTAAATTAAAATAAATCATAAAAGAGCATTTTTGTAAACTAGAAAGAAAAAAAAAGGTTTACTTCTCTAATATATCTGATTCTTAGCTGACTCACAGCACTTTCAAATCAATCTGCTTATATCCATTTTTGCATTTTTCTAATATATATATATATATATATATATATATATATATATATATATATATATATATATATATATATATATATATATATATATATATATATATATATATATATATATATATATATATATATATATATATATATATATATATATATATATATATATATATATAAAATAAAATCTTGATGGAAAAAAGTTATACAGAAAATGAATAGAGTAGAAATCTTCCACATTCTTTAAAAAAAATTCACATTATGATGTTTTATATTATTATAATAATATTTAGTTCCTTTTTTAGTTTATTATTTGATTTGGATTAAAAAAATATCACTTTACCCATTTAAATGTAAAAAGTAAACAAATGTATATATCAATATTTCATTTCTTTTTTATTCCTTTTCATTATTTTTATCACATTGATTTCAATTTTTTACTTTGTAAATGACAGATAATGAAGGGTGTTCTAGAAAACTGTACAAAGAAATAAAACATGAGATGTATTTTTTTTTTAATTCATAAAATATCACTATTTAACATTGTGCTGTATTTCAGTCCAAAAAAACATTGAGCTATATTCATTTTTTTTAACTATATTTTTTTGCTCTTTTGTGTCATTGTTATCTTTTTATATATCATATGTTTATATCATTCAAAAATATATCACCATACTAAAAATCACATTTTTTATTTTGGTTTTGTTTTTATCAATTCATGAACCATATTCTGAAAATATTTTAAAATATTTAACAAAATTTAATAGATTGTATTAAAATTTTCCCAATTGTATATTAAATTTTATTCATCAAACCAAATCCAACCACTACTCCATTGTTGGTCAAAATACTCACTTGCTATATCTCAATAGAAGAAAAATAAACAAATTTAGTCAAATTATTTATTTAGAAAGTAGAATTCAAAAAAAAAAAAAATACTTAAAAAGTATGAAATATATTTATAAGGTGCTATATTTTTAACTCAGTTATTAGTTTATTAATATAGCAATGATAAACTTTAAATAAATCATTTCCATTATATATAACATGATATTGTTATATTAACAAATTAACAATTAAACTCATGTACCCTTAAATTTAAATGAGTACCGATATCCTCAATTAATCAAACACTATGATTCAATCTCATATCTTTTTATATTTTATTTAATTTTAAAATAAATTAAAATTTTAACACAATTTATATTAAAGGTGCTGATAAACAACCACTTATCATAGATACCTAAAATTTTACCAATTAACAAATTGTTATATCCAACCACTATTCCTATATTGGTCAAAATAATATTCACTTACTATAACTTAATACAAGGTAAATTAAAAAAATATAGTCAAAAATTTTATTTAGAAATAAAATTAAAAAACAAGGGAAACACTAAAATATATTTAAAAAGTATGAAATATATTTATAATGTGATATAATTTTACATTGTTATTCAATGAAGATTAATCAATCAGACATATCACATAACTAATTTAAAAATATCGAAATAATTTGAGAAAATACAAAATAATAATTAATTAATAGTGTAAAACTACATATATTGTCTGTGTATATATTTTTTCTCTTTAACCTTAATATTTTAACATAGAAAATATTTGTAAAGTATATCAAACAAAAAAATCTTATCATAAAAAAAAAAATACTTTGATCAAACAATTTGCATTTGCAAAGAGTGCTCACGTTTTCCATTCCACCTTAAAAACCTTGATAAAATCGAAACGGTAAACCACCTGGTATTTATTTCCCACGGTTTGCTGACTCAGCAAAAAAAACCCTATAAAGTGTGATAGGGTTTTCTTTTTCATTCATTTTTATTTTCCAGTTTTTTCTGTCCCCTTAAGACCCTTGAGTCAAGTTTGAACCTTTTTCTCAATTGTTCTTTTTAGTACTTTTTCTTTCCTTGGTTTTGTTGAAAAGTTATGGTTATGTAATCTTTCTCTCTTTAGGTATTGTTATTCGTTAACGACAGTGTTCATAAGTTTAGATTTTGAATTCTGGGTTGAGTTTTGTAATAATTTGAGAAATTTGTGTAATTGGTAGTTTTTTTTGGGTGTAAGTTTTGATTTGTAAAGTAGAGAAAGAATCTTGAGTGTATCTTTCGAAAATGGAAAACTCGAGAAACAGGCAAAATGAGAATATGGGTGTAAACAAAATGGGGAAGACAATCAAAAAGAATTCATCGCAGGCAGCAACGAATTTCGGCCACAACGTTGTAACTAGCGGCAGACATCATTACCCTCAGTCGAAAATTCATCACATCCACAGAGATGATTTCAAGAGTTTTGTCATGCTCACTACAGGTAGAGAATCAAACAGGCCTACTAGAACTCAATCTGAGATTACTAGGTTGCAGCAAAACAGGCCTCCTCCGTTGGCCAATGTGAGGCCGCTTGGTCGGTTTCCTATGCAAGCACCTCCTCCGCGGGCGCCTTACATTAATGGACTGGCTGTCCCTCCTTTGCAGCCGATTAGTGGTCCTCCCGTCTTCGATAGTTCCTGGAACAACTTCGTCGAGTCTCCAATCTCAGCTTTCATGAGAAAGTTTCGAGAATCGGAGAACTACTACGGTGGTGGTGGTTGTGGTGGTGGCGGTGGTGCTTCAACAGGTAATCAATTCCAGTCATACTCGCCTCCACAACAACAGAATGTTCAATTTCAACCGCAGTATTTTCCAATACAAACTCAGATGGTGAACAATGTTGAGCAATATAACCAAACTTTTCCGAATCTTAATCCTTCAGTCTCTCTGAATGTTGCTAGCAATAGCAACCAAACTTTTCCTATGAACCCTAGCAATCAATTTCTGAATGGTTTTCCTGAGTCACAAGCAAATTATTCTATGTCACCAAACTCTGAATACTTGTTAGCTTCACCAACACAGAAAGGGAATGTCCTATCCCCTCAGTCACCTCATAGGCCTCTCCTGTCCCCAAGCATTTTCTCTTCGCCTTCTTCGCCGGACTACCCTTTCCAACCATATCTACATAATGAGATTTTAAGTCCAGAACCTCAGTCTCCGCTTTCTTCAGGCATATTTCCTTTCACAAGTTCTCAGAGGCCAGATGATGAATAGGCTTCTCATACTTCATTCATGTTGCTGCTACTGTCAAAGATCTTAGTTCATCATCTCATTTTGTCTTTATTTCTTTTACTTGTTTTGTTATTGTTATGTAAGGATGCTCTTTTTTTTTTTTAATAAATAAAGTAATGGGTTATTTGTCACAAAAAAAAAACCCTTAAATTCTTGCTATTTATCTTTAGTTTGTATGGAATACATTTTTAAGTAATGATTTTATTTCGCAAATAAAAATATAATGTATTTGCATTTAGTTTCCTATTCCATCAATTGCTGTTTTTGGAAGATTTTATTTTGTTGACTTGACTTGACTTACGTCAAAATTAAAATTAAAATTGAATAGGTTTATAAAAAAATAGTGAATTGAATAGTCTTAAGCTTGATTTGGTATATGCATTTTTAATAAAATTAGTAAGAAATTCGTGTTATCACGTGAATCTCGTCTGGATTCACATTACATATATCAATGACTAAATTGTTAAGTACGAAATCATGTTTTCAGTTGAATAACATTAATATATTTATAACTTATAATCATTTATCAAATTTTAATTCATGTGCTTGGAATATCAATTATAATATAACTTATTTTGACGTACATAAATATTCACGTAGTTTCAATTATATACTAATACTATGTACCAACTTTTAAGTATTTGATTCATATTTATAATAAATCGTACAACCATTTTTATAACTTAAATTATATAAAACAACAAAAGAAATAGTTAAAAATTAGACATTAAAATGATCATTCAATAACTAGATACGTTTACATCTACGCGTGAATTCAGATGAGTTAACAAATCTCAGTTGAATCCAAATAAGTTAATTCTAAAAATTTATTAAATTCATTTTAGATATTAGTTCATTTTTCCAAATCTAAAATGTATGACAGTTCTCCGTCAAATTTCAATTTTAAAATTTTTTCAAAAATTTAATTTATATTTTAAATTTAATTTTCAGGAAAAAATGTAATATTATTTAAAAATAATTTACTTATAAAATAATTTATAAAATATATTTTTATACCACTAAAAATAAATTTTTGTATACAAGTTGTATGCAATAAAGATTTTTTTTAAAAATATATTACTAAATACATATGTCTCCAAAAAATACTCAACAACAAATTTCATAGTCCCCTTCTCATTCACAAGGAATATACAATAATTAAAAAATAAAAAAAAATAAAAAAAAAAATAAAAACAGAATTTATATATATATTGCATGTGGAAAATATTGCCAATGTGTTACTTCAACTTTGATACAACAAAGTTTTTTTGATCTATTATTATAAATAAAGAGAATTATAATTGAAAACAAAATCAAACTTTTGTCACAAAAATAATTACATAAGATCCTCAATGTCATTTAAATTGAACTAATCATAATACTAAAAATTTCATAGTTACCATCACAAGTTCACACAAAAGGTACAACTACTTGCTTCCAAAACATTGTTGCACTTAGCATTATTAACATATGTAGTAATGTAGTAATACATGCATACCATAAAAGGGAGTCTGTGATGGCTTATTTAATACATCACATTTATTATATTGAAAAGCCTCAACACATTACATAAATCACCATAAGAAGGCTAGTTGTAATATGCAATCAAATTCTCTAAGCTCCACCATAAATTTCCTATGCTTAAGAAATACTTCATATATTGGCTCTCAAAAAAAAAAACATGTAGTCTTCTGAAGAGGAAGACCAGGTGGATATGAAGTTGAAACTGAGAGACAAAAAAAGTCTTTTACATCTATCTAAGATTGCAGCCTTTGCATGTATGGATGATGTGTATTTTTTTATGCGTTAAATGCAAATTATTTCCTATTCCATCAATCGCTGTTTTTGGAAGATTTTTTTTGTTGACTTGACTTGAGGTCAAAATAACAAAAATTAAAATTTTCTATATATTTAAATGAATTGAATAGACTAATAAAAAAAAATAGTGAATCGAATAGTCTTAAACTTGATTTGGTATAATGCATTTTTAATAAAAGGAATGAGCGTATTTAGACTCATTTATGTTTTCCTAATATGATAGTTAAAGGAATGTGGACATATTTAAATTCGTATTAAAAAAGCAATGATTTTTACTCTTTTTACAAGATTCATGTATACATTTTGCTGACCTCTTTAGTCTTTAAAAAGTCTTGATTACACTTTGATTGCAATTTTAGTGTGTATGGCTTGGACCGTCACTTTTTTCTTTTCTTTGAGATCTGGTCTTTTTTTTTCTTCAACTTTTTCTGAATTTATGCGATCATTTATCATTGTGACATCAACTCACATTGTCTGCATTATCTTTAACAACAGAAAGTAATAGTTGGATAAAGTTTAACCTCTTTCTAAATATTTATCAAATATATATATATATATATATATATATATATATATATATATATATATATATATATATATATATATATATATATATATATATATATATATATATATATATATATATATATATATATATAATTGAGGTTTACTGAGATAGTCCTTGTACGGAAATTCAATGAGTTAAAAGGAAAAAAAGGACACTTAAAAACAAAAGCAACAAGCCCACACCCATTCAACAAAATAAATAATTGAAATAAAAGAAGAAAACGAAAAAATAAGTAACCCACTCTAGAGGATGTTCAAGACTCTCTACTGCAAAGGCCAAAGACATTTGTCGGCTCAAACAAAAGTATGGTTCTCAAGTCAGATAAAGAAAACACTTTCTCGCGTGTCTATCAAGATATCATTTTTAAGTTATAAATTAACAACGTCAACAACTCAAAAATAATAGTAAATAACAACAACAACAACATTAAGATTCAACCTCAATCTAAACAACAACAACAACAACAATATATTAAACAACAACTAAAAAGTAATCTCTCAACAAAATTACATCACATCAACAATAAACTTATAACGTGCTTATCTCAACAAAAACAACAACGTATAACATGCAGTCTAAGTTTAAAAAAACAATAAGATTGAACATTTAGGGTTTAGGGTCTTAAAAACAACAACAACAACAACAATGTAACATAAGTAGTGATGTTTGACATATCATATATGTAAAGGAGAAGTGGAAAAAAATGATTTCGTCTTTCATTCAGGAAAATATTGAACGAGAGCCCTAAACATATACCATCATTATGGAGGATGATATGTGCTTAGGTCTCTCGTTGCTTAAGGCTCTTCGTTAAGGTTATGTGCTTGTTGTTTTTGTGTAGTGTTTTAGGCACGTGAAACTAAAGTTACAAGCTAAGCTATATATAATAATAGTAATCCCCATCAAATAACACACATACCAGCAATGTTAGAGAGAGTGTGCCTGACTTCTCTCTAACTTTTCTTTCCACAAACTTAGGTTTTCCCATGGCCAATCTTGTTGATTCAAACTCTGCCAATGATGAATGGACCAAAGTAGTGAACAAGAACTATTCGAGGAAAGGGTACGCAAAGTGGAATGCTTCAGGGAGAGGAGGAAGAAAGAAGGAAGGTGTTGTACCCCAAAATTTTCTCTCTCATTTATCAAGTAATCTCTCACAAGATCTCCCTTGGTTCAAGACTGCATTAGGTTGATCAGCTCAAGACACCTCCTCAAGCACTAATGACTGAAAATTAGGGTTTGAGATTGCACAAGGATAATTGAACTTTTAATGCCTCATATGATTTTCATGGATCATTATGGACCCTCAAGATTGCTCATGTCAAGTTTCAAGTCTTGGATCACATTTTTGCTCAGTCAATTGATTAGTTGACCTAAAAATCAGCTGTATTGAAGAAAAAGTCAATTGTGGTCAATTTATAGTCAAACTTCATAATTTTTTATCCATATCAACATTATGAACTTATATATGTCATTTGATCAAGTTTCGACCATAATTCCTCAAGAAATTTGATCAAATCATCAAAAGGGCAAAATGGTCAAAATTAGGGTTCGATTGCACGAACAATATGGCCGAGTATGAAGCATGCATCTTGGGTCTGAAAGCTGCTATTGACTTGAGGATCAAGCATTTGAATGTGTTTGGGGATTCTTAGTTGGAAATTTCGAATAAAGAATAATTGGATATCAAAACAATATTTCAAAATAAGCATATAAGGAGGTTGATATCAATAATGAATATAGGTGGGAAATATAGAACCATTGTTCTAAAGGACTCTTCGATTTCCAGTGATAGGTGATGGATTTTGATTTGGGATTTTTAGTGTTTAAAATATAAAGAGTTCCTTTGTGAAAATGTGCCAGAATTGGAAGTGGTCCAGGCAAATGGTTTAATTTGAATCGAAGAAAACTAGCAAAATGCTTCGTTGGCACAGGGTTCGAATTTCAAATAAGAGCGCCATTCTTGGAAGACGCGTGGAAGTCAGTAAATGTAAGAAGCCTGCATGCTTCGAACGTGGCATGATTTTAGAGTAGGGCCGTTAGGGTCAGGATACTATAAATAGGTGTTTTTATGTTAGAATTGGGGTGTTCATTTCGTGTACTAAAAAATCTCAAACACTCAAATTATCGTGACTTAAGGGAAACGAGTTAGAAGACAAAATGTATGTATTAAACATCATGATTCTTTATAATTTCAATACAAGTCTTTTTATATTTCTTTCACTTTTACAGTACTTTTTCCCTTAAATCTTTCGATTTCCTTTTATTTCCTTGTTGTACTTGCTTTCAAACACATTTATCTCTTTAGAAACTTCACTTTTACTTTATCCTTTTGTTCAAACACTTCATATTTCCAGAAACTGTTATATTCTCAGAAATTTCTTATCTTTACATTCAAGTATTAAATCTTAAGTCTAATTCGAAGCCTTTCCTTTGTACATTCAGTCAGTTTATTTCTATAGACAATCTTAGAGATATTTCTTAAGAATCTCACATTCGACATTAACATACAATATAAATTTATCAAGATAATGGGTATGAACATAGAAATGAGTTATGACACATGTGTCCTAGGATCAATCTAGTCGATCCTGCA